TTTTTTTTGCAGCATTTTGAGAATCTGTCAGTCGAAATGTCGCTTCTGTTTGTGTGTTCTGTTGAGTGGTCGTGTTACACTCCTCTCTGTATGTGTGCTGTCATCTGCTGTTACACGGCCCCACGTCTCAGCAGCACTGAAAGCTTATGCAAAAAAAAAAAAACACACAAAAAAAAGGGAGAAAAAAAGAAAGAAAAAACATAATTACAAGATGCGGATTCCCGGCGTGGATGACGAGAGCAGCCAGAAAAACGAGGAGGTCAAAGGTCAGGGGAGGATGAAGGTATTCCTCTGCGAAAATTCTGCTGGTGAAATCGTCCGGTTTGATCCATTTTTTCGGGTGAAATACCTGTTATTTCTTCAGAGAGTTTGACCAGAAATGGGACTTTTCAGACTTAAAACACACACACACACACACACACACACACACACACACACAAAAGGCCATATCGGCATCACTGACTAATTACTAATGATGGCATCAACCCCACAGGCACGCTCGTCCGACTGAAAGCACACATCAGATTTTTTGCTCCAATCTGTTGGTCCGTATCCGCCGTGGCTGGAATGCAGCGGGAGGCAGAGAGGGAGGCAGAGGGAGGCCGGCGTGGAGCGCTCCCCGGGACCGCCGTGTGCTCAGCCGCCAGGCGTCCCTGATTATTGGCCTAATTTAGATCAGTCTGAGTCACGTGAGGCGTGCTGCTCTCAGGAAGCGAACCTCAGGAACCTCCCACTGCACCAGGGGAGCCTGAGTTGATTTTTTGCCTCTTTTTTTTTCAAACAGCAGGTAAGGAAATAGCGTCTGATATACTCCGCCACCTAAAAATCGCATCGATGAGAATATGAGAGGTCGAAAGGCGAGATAAAAATCACAAAGACACACTGTGGCTCGAGTCTTCTTTTCCCAAACACGTTAACGCCAAATAGCAATAAAGGGATCATGACTATAGGGACTAATATCCTGCCTGAAGGTTAGATTTAGGCCTCTCTACATCACACGGGAATGACAATGAGGAGGTCAGAGGAAGTGGGAGGACGGGAGTTAACGCCGGTACGCTTGCTGATGACTCCAGGTTGTCAGAAGCTGATATTTTGCTCCGCCGGTTCATTCTTTTCATTCTTGGCCCAAACAAGGCCGAGCAGAAAACAATGATTCAGCCCCTTATCTGAGTAGAAAACAGCCTTAAACAGGATTCTGTCCACCATGGGAAACATAAACTCTCCAGAGAGAGAGCAGGGGGGCTGATAAAAATCAACAGAAACATCTAGGTGCATTAGCAGCCCCTTGAAACTGGGGTTTCATTACCGAGCGCACAAAACACAAACATTACTATCAGAATGAGTGGGACTCATTATTGCCCCCGCGATCTGATCTAAACCACACGTCTCTCCGAAGAAGGGGAAAAAAAGAAAAGAAAAAAGAAGTTAGCTCAGTCGATAAGTCGCAGCAACGCTGGGCGCTGAAAAGAATGACCCCTCTGGTTTGATTCTCGGCCTCGTTTCAAAACTGTAAAGTCCCGTCAGGCCCGTGTTGTTGTTCAGCAGCCACAGACAATAACACGGAGCTGCTCCCACCCCGGTGCCGGGTGCCGATCGCTTTCCTCGTGCGCACATATCGCGCACCCATTCACCAAATGACGTCAGCTGGATGTTGCACTGTAAAAAGCTCTCACCGGAATGTTGCAGGAAGTTTGGGGCACTTTGGCTTGACAAGTGTTTGCGTGTTTAGCCCTCAGTTTGATTATTCACTACAGGGGAATAAGGAGATTATTTTACAGGAAATGACAGCGCGCATGCGTCTCAATGCAATTTTTTATCTGGAAATACACGCAAAGTTTATGATCCTGTGAAGAAGAAAGGTGGGAAAAGCCATTTTCTCAAACCTGAGAACCTGCCTTATATTCTCCAAACTCCTGTAACACTCAAATTCTTCTCTATTTCCATAATTATCCACTTTTCTACTAAGGTAACGGTCATAGTTGAGAGTGAGTGGAGCACAGTCCGGGTCAGGGTAAACATTTCCATGGCTAGTTTTGCCTCATCTGCCCATCTTCTGGACATTTTATCAGGCCGCTAAGTGAAAAAGACAAAAAACGCGTCGATTCGATTGCCTTCTCACATGCTCCCGATCCGGAACGTCTCAGGGATGATGCTGCAGTTACACCACACCAATCAAAGGGGTTTTTGCCTCTCTCACACTCCTACTCTCCAGCACGTTGGATTCAGTTCAGCAGTGTGACGGTGTGTAACACACACACAACCGGGAAGGATCAGACACCCCCACACACCTCGACTCTCGCCTACATGAAGGGGACTTCACAGCTCTTGTTTGGTCAGATAATATTCAAATATTAAAGTATAAAATATTTCCTGTCATCAGCTAAATGTGCAGCTGCTTAAAACGTGGCTCAGATATAATTCAATGCCACAAATTCCCATTTCTATTAAAAGCCTGATAGAATACAATTTTTTTTATCTTTGCAATATTTGATTTATTTTTTTGTCTTTTTCATACGTGGGCTGCATTTACTTTTTATTACTTGAGGGTGGAGGGAAATATAAAGTTACGAGGACAAACTTTCAACAATAGGCCATCGGAGGAAAGAGCCGGTACAAAGACAATTGTAATGACTTTATGTGATGGAGAAAACCAAACAAAGCTGGTCTAGAAAAAAAAAAGGGGGGGGGGGGGCTGCATCTTGAAAATGTGCTTCTG